GTATTGTCATTTTCTTCGTCCCTTTTGCGCTTCTTTTCATTTGTACCCTCGTGACAGGGGGTCGTATTGAGACCCTAATTCTGGGGGGGGTCGTAATTAGCGGGAAATGATCACAACGTGATGGCGTGCCCTGTATCAGATTGAAGGTTGTACGGGCCTTTATCCTATAGGGTGTAGCGGTATAGAGTAAGAAAATCAGTTTTTTTTATACATATTTATCCGTATGAGCATGAATATAACATGGGGAGGAAGATAGGAAGGACCAGGGGGAGAGGCTAGGCCAGAGGCCAGCCGGTAGTTGCTGCCAGCCAGAGGCAACCAACTACTGTCACTCTCTCTCTCTCCGAGAGCGGCTCTTAAATAGCAAGACCATGATTGCGTCATCCAGTGAGTCGAGTCGGCGTAGGTGGCTCCGCTACGCGAGATCGGTTACGGTGGGATCTTCGGCCTGAGTCATCCATACGACACCTGCTTGGACCTACTGCGCCCCTTGGTAAAAACCATCTCGTACAAGTCAACTCGCTATCCAGTCCTACACTTGACTGCTCTGATGACACAAATGACAGAAGGCCTCGCTCCCTTATAAAAGTGGTGAAGTTCGGTCAAAATTTTTCTCGTGAATTGACCGCTACTCAAGGGAAGTGCATGTGGGTACTGTCTACAACGTCGTCACTGCTTCTACCGTAAGGACTGGTTGAACAGCGTTGTAACTGGATATGAGGGAGGTGTCTCTAGGTAAATCATTTCCGGAAACGCCAGTGGCTAGATCCTCAGGGCAGAACCGGTTGCGCAGTCCTATGAATCCAGTAGAGCGATGAGAGTGTGTATGTGATAGGATGTCTCTCTCTCTTTTTTTCTCTCTCTCTTTCTCTCTCTCTTTCTTCCTTCAGGTGAATTTCTTCCTCCCAACGCTGTGGTAGCCTGCAAACCCTAGTGTAATGCAACTTGCGCAGTCTTCCTCCCAACGCTGTGGTAGCCAGCAAACCCTACTGTAATCAACTGCGAGGGGATGAAAATACCCACCATTTGGTTCCACAAGCCAGTAGTATGTGCCTGCTCCATCACAGCTCACGGTTACTCTTTGGAAAATGGCACTGCTAGAGATATAGAGGCTTGGCCAGTGAATCTCACCACGGTCTTCATGTAGCACTGGCACAGCTCTTTCTGACGCCGTTCAAACTAATCCCTCAGCGGCCATCTTCTGGGTAAAAAATACGATTTTCAAAAGCACCTCAAAAATGACCCAGCCGCCTTTCTCGGCACGGAACCAAAAAGCTTCTGGAATCAAGGCAACCATTCTCTGCTTGGTGGTTGGCAACAAGTTGTCGATGAAGGTAACATATACAGGGGGGGGGCAAAAAAAGTCACTTCGACCGAGTCACATATCAGCAAAGTTTTCGCAGCCCAGACAGAGGACGTGGATACGAGTACCAGGGCGGAAGATACCCAAGATGTTCCTCGATAAGCAGGAGCTGGCTCTCGCCCACACCATGTACACCAAAATATGAAGTCATCTCCAGTCGCAGCCTGACTGGAGAAGACCTTTGGAATTCATGTCACCTCCAAACAGCTGCGAAACTTCTAGTATGGAGTCACCCATGGATAGCTACCTGGAGACCAGTACTCTCGATCTGGAAGACCTCCAACATCGAGCAGCTCCGACAACGTCGCCACGGTCTAGGACATCATCTTCACCGCAGTCGCCAAGGCGCGGGTTGATGGTATGGACCGGACCTGGAATGGAAAGACCAATATTTTCTTCGTGGACCCCGGACTGAAGGTGAGCGCTGGCGGTTACATCGAGCAACTCGAGAAGAATATCCTCCCTACATGTCGTCGCCCGTACCTTCTTGGTCACCCACTTAGAATGGAAGGACGTTGAGTACCTGAAGAAGATGGAATATCTAAGTAGGTCACCTGACCTAAACCCCTCAATTACCCGGTTCGGGCGGAGCTCAACAGGGTGGTCTACAGTGGCGGAGAAATCAACTATCTCGCTGAACTCAGGTACCCACTCACGGTCGCGTGGCAGAATCTCTCGATGGCGCTCCTCCAGAAGGCTGTGGCGGAGTATCATGATAGTATTTAATATGCTCTTTAATATGGTGGTAAAAATGTCCGATCAGAATTTAATAAAGTGTAACTTATAGCGCCTCGAAAGTCAAGGAAGAAAAGTGACTTTTTTGCCCCCCCCCCCCCCTGTACGCTGTCTAGATTGCACTAACCTACACTCCTTTGACCTTGCACTCGTACAACTGCTCGC